GAACCGGGGATTGAACTCAGACCCTTGCGCTTGCCAGGGAAGCACTTATTCTACAGAGCCATCTCCTTGGCCCCTTATCTTTTTTTCTTTTTTTTTGGTGGAACCGGGGATTGAACTCAGGTCCTTGCACTTGCCAGGGAAGCACTTATTCCACTGAGCCATCTCCCCAGCCCCCTATGTTTCTTTCTGAGAACATGTGTCTTTGGGACTGGGACTGTAGCTCAGGGGTATAGCTCTTGCTTAGCACGCGTGGGGCCTTGGGCTTGATTCTCAACAGTGCAAACAAACAAACAAAAAGCCCACAAACCACACAACCAAAAAGTGTCTGTTTGCCCAGCCCCCTTTTCCAGCAACTATAAAGTATGTCAGACACAACCTCTGGCCTCAAGAATCTTCTAGTCTAGATGAGGAACAGGCAGGTAAAGAGGTACTGGCTACAAGGAAGTCCCGAGGGAGGGCAGCTGACTTTCGGAGCTGTGAGGAGGTCCTGGGGAAAGGTTCCTGGAAGAAGGGCAATGAACTGGATCTCGAAAGACAGCAGGGGTTCAGCAGGCAGATGGCAAGGGTAAGGCTCTGGGGCTGGGCTGGATGCATTCTTGGAGTAGTACTAAGCCATGGGAGATTCCCAAGCAGGAGATGATTATGAGACCTGTTTTGGAAAGCCTGCTGCAAAGGGAGACTTTAGCTGTGAGAGGCACTGGGGAGGCTGCTGCAGCAACTGGGTGGATGAGATGCCCTGAGCTAAGGGCGGGTGGAGGCGTGCAGAGGATTGGACAGACTCCAGGGATGTTTAGGAGGCTGGTGCTAGACTGGTTAGGGCAGAAAACAGGTAGGCTGCAGGTGATTCCCAAGTTTCTGGCTCCAGTTTGAGACAGGGACATGGAGGCTAGGTTTAAGACAGTGCTATGGGGCTTTTTGGAGCAAGTGGTGGTGTGGGGATTCCCAACAGACAAAGCCAAAATGAACCAAGGGCAGGTACCCCAGGCACAGCTGCTGCAAAGATCACCCCATCCTGTTGCGTTCCTTCCATTCCCTGTGCCTTGCCTGGGGATTTCTGCCACCTGCTGAGAGCCCTTCTCTAAACATGTATGTAGCTCTGACTCTAGCACTCTTTGCTACATTATCCTCTTGGCTTCCCTGGCGCCCACCGAGCCTGTCATTCAAGGTCCAACCCACCACCACCCCTGGCCTCGGCCTGGTCTCTGTGGATTTACCTCGTCTCGCCTCCACACTTCCCCCCTCATCCCCCCGCAGCAAGCACCAAACCCCTCCCCGGAAGAGAGGGGGCGCTCTTGCCTCTGCAGGTCGGGAAGGATGGACTAAGGGTATTAGGGAAAGCGATCACACCCTTCAGCCTCTGCTAAGGGTCTACAACGCAGCCTAAAGGACTTCGTGGAACTCCTGCTGCCAGCGTGCAGGCGCCGGGGGGCGTGACGAAGCCGGTCCCCGCCACTGGACTCCTCCCTAGACACCACCCGCAACGGCCCCGCCTCTCCAGAAGTTGGGCGGAACCCTCGAGCTCCGATTGGACGGCTCGGAAGGGCCGCACTGTCGGACCAATGAGCGCGGCCCGGGCACGGCGGAGGGCGGGGGAGCAAACGCTGTCTGGGGCCGCGGCGACCCTGGTCTGAGCTCGTCGTTCCGGGCCCAGACTAGGCGGGCGGAGCTGACCGCGCGTTGCGGGAGCGAGGCTGGCCTCTTGCCCGGCCGCGGTGACAGTCGCCCGGCGCCCAGGTAGGGACCTAGGCGGGGAACGGGAATCCAAATGCCTGAACGGTCGTCTGTTCCAACCCTCTTGGGGAGAGGGGTGGTCTGCAAGGCCGTTCTCCTGAGGGCGGGGATCCTCCCCCTCTATCCGCGGACCCGGCTCTACGCAGTGCTTCTGCAGGCAGCTCTGGCTATGCCCGCATCCCGCCGTCTGCATCCCTTTCCCACCTCTGGTCTGCGAGGCTGCGTCCAATCCCGGCGCATCGTCCGTCCCGCCCCTGCCCTTCGTGGAGGCCGGGTCTATGCGGAGTGGGCCCAGGGGGTGCACCCACGTGTGGCTGTCTGCGGAGCGCCCTCGCTTGAGTCTGGCTTGCAGAGCTGGGGGCGGCATGGTGAATGGGACGGATGCGGCGTGCGGCTTTAGCTGCGCAGTCTTTCCCGGCGGGGGCTGGGAGGGGGCGGCGCAGGCGGGTGCTGTGGCTTTGGGGGCCTGGTGGGCTCCGAACTGGTGGCTCTGAGGGTGCACACGTGCATGGGAAGTCGTGTGTGGTGTTGGAAGACCGGTGTGCGTGTGTCACGTGGACACAGGAGTGTGCCTGTGTGTGAGAGGGGGGTGCATTTTAGGATGGAGTGATGTGTGGGGACCGGTCACGCGGACATGGGCGTGCGCCCGACAGGGAAGGAGTGTGCGCGCGCGTCTTGGGGTGTTGCTGGAGTGTTCGGGAAGGTGGGTCATAGGCCACAGGTACCCAGGCTGTGCCTTGATGGGTGCCCGAAAGGCTGTGCATCCTCCTGACGGATTCAGGAGTACTGGAGAAGCGGGTGGCTTGTGTCCTTGACGATCCTAGGGAAGAGGTTCTGGCCTCCCCCACGGCCCTGCGCATAGAGACTGAGCATCTATTGTCTGTCACTTGTCCCAGACCTGCACGTTTTGGGAATGCTCTGCTGCTCTTTGGTCTCCCACCCCTAGTCTCCGCGGAAGCCAGTCATTTTAAACCTCATCCAAATGAGCCCACCCACCCGCCCTGTCATCCTCTGGCTCTGGAGCCCTCCTGGTCTCTGTCCACAAAGCCCTGCCCCACGCCCCAATCCAAGCCCAGAGTCTCAGGGTGAACTCCCAGCCTGTTCTCTCCTGAAATCTTATGCAGCCGGCAAAACAAAACAAAACAAAACAAAAAACCTCCAAAGTCACTTCCTCCCCAAGCTGGCCTTGGTGGCACACACCCGTAATTCCAGCACTGAGGAGGATAGTGCGTTTGAGACCAGACTGGGCAACTAAGCGAGACCTCTTCTCAAAAATAAATAAATAAAAATAAAAAGTATTTAAAAATAAAAACAAAACCGAAGCTGTCCCTGAAGCCAGCGCATGGACTGAATGTTCTCTTGAGGTGCAGCCCCTCTCACCATCCGGTGCCTCTCTCGACTCCAGTTGCATCAGACCCCTTCCTGTTCCTCAAACCGAGCAAGCCCAGTCCCACTTGTGAGGCATGCACTGGCTGCCTGCTGCCTGAATCGCCCTTCTCTAACCGTTCACACTGCTTGCTCTCTTCTTTCCTTCTGATACCTGCTCAAATCCTGCACCTGAAAGTCCTCAAGTCACACAGAATCAGTCATATCCTCCAGCCCATTATTCTTTTTTTTAAAAAATATTTTATTTTTATTTATTTAGTGTGTGTGTGCGTGTGTGTGTGGCCAGCTCAGCCCACCAGGGGGCGGGGCTGGCTGGCATGTGGTGCTGGGGGATTGAACTGTGGTCCCTGTGCTTTGCTAAGCTTGTTCTAAGTAGGTGCTTTAGACCACTGAGCCATCTCACCAGCCCCCAGCCCATTATTCTTGATCCCACTTCCAGCTGTAGCTTTCTTCGTAGCACCTATGCCCAGGTCATACGCTATTTATTATGACTTTATTTGTTGCTTGCTGCCCGTATTAGCAAATAAGCTGCATTGAGCAGGCCCTTTGCCTTTTTCGTTTGCTCCTTTGTTTCATAGCACTTAGCACTGTGCCTAGCATGGAGAAGATGCTCAATGAGTAGCTGTTGTGTGAATAAACGACTTGTTCTGCGTCCTAGTAGTCAGTGTTCCTGACTGCTCTCCAGCCTGTAGGGCTTCAGCCTGAGGCTAGGGTCCCCTGTGCTTCTAGATTTCAAGTTCTGGAATTTTAGGTCTGTGAGAGCTAACACCATATTTGCACGTTAGAAATTCTTTCCACTGGTGTGGAGGGTGAGGTGGGGTGCGATTGTGAGCAGGAAGACCCAATAACTAGAATCAGCGAAAGGACACTAGACGTCAGAAGCTGTACTTTTTTAAGGGGTTCAACTTGGAAAGCTCACCCATCCCCCAGTGAGGAGATCAGAGAGGGCTCCTAGAGGAGGAGATGACTGAGCTGTCCCCTAGGCAGCAAAGGAGAGGGAGGTGTGTTCCGGCAGAAGGCACAGCGTGTATAAAGGCCTGGCAGCAGAACAGAGCCTGCACTTTGGGAAGCTTCAAGTGGTACAGCGGAGTGGAGAGTAGGTGTGGAGTGGAGGAGCAAGGATGGGTGAGGGGGAGAGGAGCCTCTGGATCTCTGGCTTAGATCCAGTAAGAACAGGGAGAATGGCAGTCCCACCTCTGCAGTGGAGACAGGAGGAAGAACAAGCTTGAGTTGAATTGAACCTCTTTTGGAGTTGAGCTGCCCAGGAATATGGAGGGGGAGGAGGAGGCTGCTAGCTAGAAAGAATTGGATGGAGGCACAGACCTAGTGTGGAGGAGAGGAGGGGCAGAGTACTGGATGAGGCCTGCAGACTGTCAGCTTCCGTGGGTGGCCCAAGGGATGCACTGACAGTAGCTGCGGTGAGGTAGGCACAGGGCCCACCTCAGTGCTTGGGGGCTCCCTGAGGCGGGCTAGAGAGGGCGTGCGCATAGCAAGCATCCTCAAGCATGACTTGGCACCAGGCTCCGCAGCCTCCTCTGAGGGGACTGAGTCATCCCAGCATTGGCGGGAGCTGCAGGGGGCACCGCTGCTAGGGCCATCCATACATTGTCAGGAGTATACACAGGGTACAGAGACGGGTGGCCCAGGGATGTCAGGACGGTCTTTGCCCCTCTTCCCACCCCTCAGCTACCTCTTCTGGCCTCTCCTCTGCCTGGACAGTAGCTGCTCCCCTGGCTCAGCCTGGCTCTGGGGTTCAGAGAATCCTTCCAGAATTTAGAACATAGCATGACTGATGCTTGATCCAAGGCAGGGCTGCTCAAACCAGGGTGGATGACAGCAGGATCTACCTGCTGTATTGCTTTGAATCTCTGTGTTGGAGAGTCAGCTAGATGAGGCATGTCCTGAGGAGGAGGCCTCTGGAGCAGGAGAACGGGGACACTTGGAAGGGGGAGGCACAGTTGAGGAGGAGGAGAAGCCCAGTGGCCGGAGGGTGGATGCCTGGCCGCCCATTCCCCAGAAGAGGTGTGGTTGCGCTTTGCATATCAGGGCTCTCTCAGTGGCTTCTAGATGTAAATATATCCTGTCCCCACATCACTCAGGCATAAACTGCCTGTGTCCACGACTTCATCCACTTCCTCTATGGCCCCTATTACAGGCAGGAGGTTGGTCATCTGTCCGATACACATCTGAAGAAACTGAGGCTCCAGGAAGCTCTGTGCCTTGTCCCACACAGCCCAGTCCAGTCTGGGAAGACAGAACTTGAGCTTTCCTGAGGGAGGCAGGGTTGGAGTCTGTCCATTCCTGGTCTGCACACGCTAGAGGTCCCCAATGCCTCCCTCCTGGGTGCGAGCCTATCATTTACCGTTTGCCCCATAACTCCTGGTTGCTGCTGAGTCCGTTCCTATGAAGCCATCTGCTGAGGCTGTAGTTTGGGAAGGGCCTTGAGGGCAGGGATTCCTGGGTAAGCCCCCTGAGAGGATAGGCTTTGCCTAAGATACACAGGCTGGCCCAGCGGGCAGCCCCAGCTAGTGGGACAGGTGAGGGTAGAAAGTCGGTAGCCCCCACCCCATCCTGGGGCACACACCCCTCCCAGGAGCACACTTGCACTTGGCCACACTGAGAGCCATTGATCCAAGCTCAGATATGCTCCTGGTGTGGACTCATAACATAGGCAGACATTGTATCAATCCGCAGTCCTGCTCCAACACGTGCTGTCACACTCAGACACGGGCCCCCACATGCAAGACCTCTAGCGCCAGGCCCTGTCGCCTGGACACGCGGCAGGAACTTGGGCCTCCCGGCCACCTCCCTCTCGGGGTGCTTAGTCACCTGAATTTGATCCAGGCAGGAGGGAGGGATGGATGGAGGGCCTGACGTCAGCCTTCACAGCCGCCTCCCGCCTCCTGCTGCCTCCGCCCTCACATCCATCTGGCCTCCAGCTTGTCCCAGGCAATCACAACAACTCACTTCTGTGGAGCTTCCTTCCCAGCCAGCCCAGTGTGTGCCTGCGGAGTTCCACCTTATCCCCCTCCCTCTTGCGCAAGGAGACCCCCCATTTGCCTCATTTTGTGGATGAGAAAACTCAGGGTGCAGCTGCCTGCCTTCAGCTGCCTGCCCATGGGCTTATGGCTAGAGAGAGGTGCAGTCTGGCAGCCTGGCTTCAGAGCCTGGGTATAAAACCAGGTGACAAGGCCCCGGCTGGAACAGAAAGGCTTCTGTACCCATTTGCCGTGTGCTACCCAGCCCATCTCTGCCCCTCACTGAGCCTCCCCTCTCCTGACTAGAAAAAAAGGAAAAGGAACTTAAAGGAAGGGGGATAGCTTGCAGGAATGGCACTGCAGGGAAATCCTATGTAAATTTTATGGGCTGGGGCAGCCTGTGGCTTCTGCCTATGGGGGCTCTCAGTTCCTGGGTGGGAGCTCCTGACTGTGCGCCGGCCCTGCCTGGGGCCTCAGGCTTGCTGGGATTTTCTTGCTGAGGCTGCTTTTCCCTCTGTGTAATGGGGACAGGGCTGTAATGATTACTATGACAACCACTCATTTATTTAACAAATATTTATCGAGCGCGGATTATATGCTTGGCACTGATGAAGACAGCCGGGATGTTGTGGAGACAAGGCAGACAGGAGCCCTAATCTCATGGAGCTTACATTCTGGTGGAGAGGCCAGACCTGAAGAATGAAGGGGGCAGGGCAGTGATGGGCCTCCCTCAAGTCTTTTGGCCTCCACTTTCCTACAATGATCTGGTTTCCACAGCCTCCAACTTCAGCTTTACTCACTTCTCCAGTACCTCCTCCAGCGAGGCCTCCTTATCAAGCCTTACTTAGCCTTTCTCATTCCAGGGTGTTCCAGCCTCACCCCTCTCTCTGCTCTAGGTGCAGCCTTCATGTCTTTTCTTACTGCCAGTCTGTATCTCCTTTCCTCTTCCTTTCCATGCATCAGCATCTCTTTTGCTACCTGCAAGTTGCCTTGGCCTCATCCAAACCTGCCTACAAGCCCTACTGTGGGCCTAGAAACTCTGGGAGGGTGTGGTATCCACAGGACAGATGGGGAGACTGGGGATCAGAGTGAGGAGGAGCTGGCTCTGGGCCCTACAGTAGGTTGGTGGGCAGGACTGGAACTCAGCCCCATATCATCCTCCATACTGATCCCCTATATCAGTGGACTCCAGCTAGCCTCTTCCTCGACATCTGTCCTAGAAGAGGGTGGGGGAAACCGGGATGAAACAGAGGCATGACATGCCTGAGACCCATGGTCTCCAAGTCACTGTGTGGGGACAGAGGAAGTTACCAACAGTCCGGAAGGGCAGAAGGTCAGGAGTGTCCCTCGCTTCCTTTTCCTGAGAAGATGCTAGGTCTAGCCAGGAGGGGGAGGGGGCATTGGGCTGGAGCCAGGTCAGCCTGTATCCTGGGGCAGAGATGGGTCCCAGGCTGAGAGTCAGGGCTCACACTGCATGAGGGTGTGACCCTTGGTCATAGCTGGAAGGGAGGAGTGGGGCTCAGGCTGGGGCTACTGCTTAGCCTGAGACCTGGTTTGAGCTTGGATGTGAGGTTTTGTCTCTTGTGGGAAGCACCCAGCAGCAGTGTCTCCTCTCCCTAGGGGTTTTGCTGGGTGGTCCATGGTAGGTGAGAGGTCAGGTCACTGGAGCATTTCAGCCTGAGTAGATGTGACAGATATTTGAGCACACTGGAAGGAAAACCCAGGCAAAATAAGAAATGACCTTATAGTGACAGCCACCAAAGAGACAGCCTCCTCCCCAGTGGGTCATGTCCCAGGCTAGAGGCTCTGCCAGGGCAGGGAAGAGGTAACCGGTCCTGCTCAGTGGTCCTGGGATGGCGAGAGGAGGTGAGAAAGGCTGGAACCCCAGGGACAGCCTCCCAGACAAGGTGGGTGGGCCTGCAGCTCTGGTGGGTTACCGGTGACCAGTAGTCCGTCTGGCTTCCAGCAGGCAGTGCTGGGTGTTCTGCCCTCAGGTCTGGGGTTGCAACTGGGAGTCACTGGACCCATGTCCCACAGGTGGGCTGAGTGGAGCCTGAACTTAGTCTGTCTCCACACTGCTGGACCTCCAGTCTTCTGCAATGTCTGTCCATCTGTCCTGACTCCAGGATACTAGCTTCACTGCTTCCCTGTGAAGTTGGCACGGCAGATGTGACTGTGCCTGTTTACAGGTGGGACACTGAGGGCTGGAGGTCCTGGAATTCACTCTGTGGGGACAGACCTGAACCCGGGTGATGGCAAGCCAGGAAGAGGGAACTGCAAGAACAGGAATGAAGGTGGGGCCCTGGGGCTGTGGCCAGCCACAGTGGGAGAAGGGCCAGGCCCCACCCCCTTGGTCCCATCCAGTGTGACATCCAGGAGTGAAGCCTTCTCTGTCCTCTCTCAGGTACCCGGCAAGGCTACGCAGAGGACCCCTTGACTGGGGCGATGGAGGGAGGCCCAGCCATCTGTTGCCCGGACCCCCGAGCAGAGCTGGTGGAACGGGTGGCAGCCATTGATGTAGCCCATTTGGAAGAGGAAGATGCAGGCCCCGAGCCTGCCAGGAACGGTGTGGACCCTCCGCAGCGGGCCAGGGCTGCCTCTGTGATCCCTGGCAGTGCATCAAGACCCCCGCCAGTGCGGCCCAGCCTCTCAGCTAGGAAGTTCTCCCTGCAGGAGCGGCCCGCAGGAAGCTGCCTGGAGGCCCAGGCTGGACCTTATGCCACGGGGCCTGCCAGCCACATCTCTCCCCGGGCCTGGCGGAGGCCCACCATTGAGTCCCACCATGTGGCCATCTCAGATGCAGAGGTTGGTGGGGCACAGTTAGGGGTTGCTCACATGCCCTTTAGTAGACCTGCATGAAGTTCTATTGCTGCCCCTATATGTGCCACATAATTATCTACCCTTGGTTTGCATGCCCTCAGAGCCAGGGAGCTCACTACCTAACACTGTTACTTCTTCCCATCCAGTAAGTTCCAGGTGAGCCAAAGGTGGCCTCCTGATTCCTGTTACCACCCCAGCACCCCCAGCCCAGGCCTAGGAAATAAGTCCCTCACTTGTCCCCTAAAAAGTCCTCTTAGAGATTTGAAAATAAATGAACCCCCCCCATCCCAAGTCTACCACAGCTTGCAGCCTCCCTCACCCCAGCTCTAGTCCTGTCTGTTAGGTCTGCTCTGATTCAGAAACTACCTGTGAGCCTCCAGCCTCCATGATCCTGCTGCCTGGACATTGTCCTGCTGCCTGGACATTATCCTGCTGCCTGGACATTGTCACTCAGATCTGATCTTGAGCTTGAGTCTAGAACTAGGCCTATGGCTGTCAAAGGCTGAGCTCTCTGTGCCTAACGCAGAGCTTAGGCTTCTCTCCTCAGGTCTCCCTTAGGTTTTTTTGCTCCAGCAATCTGTCTCATTTCCTTTGCTTCTGTGAATACCTGCTCCGGGGTTTTTCACACACTGGGGTCTCCCAGCCCCTACAGTCCTCACAGGATTGGTGTATTTATCCTTTACCACTTGTGGAGCAAAGTGTAGCCAGGACTTCGCCATTCCTGTTTTCATGCAAGGCTTCTTGGCAGTGAGGGTGGCAGTAGGACCTCTAGGTTTTCACATCTAAAAGGAGAAGAGACCAAAGGTTCGGAGTTAATCGGGGACCAGCCTCAGATCCTGAGTTAGCTCCTGACATGGGAGTAGTGTCACCTCTGGATCAAGCTGTACCTGATTCCTCCTTTTCCCCCAGGACTGTGTGCAGCTGAACCAGTACAAGCTGCAGAGTGAGATTGGCAAGGTAGGACTGGGGTGGGACAAGAGCAGCGGGGCTCAGGGTTCTCCCCCTGGGATTTGTCTCTGTCTCTGTGGGAGGGAATGGGAAGCTGAGCCAGGAACACCCTAGCCTAAATGTGAGGCAAGTCTGTCCTCTGTGGGAAGCACCGGGGTGCTGGGAGATGACTCCGGATTCCTACTGCCCTAGGGGTCTTCTTCCCCCCCCCTTCCTTCCTTCCTTCCTTCCTTCCTTCCTTCCTTCCTTCCTTCTTTCCTTCCTTCCTGCTTTCCTCTCTCCTCACCCCCCTTCTTTTTGTCTCTTTGTTTTTCTTTCTTCTTTCTTTTTTGGTTTTTGGTTGTTATTTTTTGGAGATAGGCTCTCTCTGTGCAGTGTAGGCTGGCCCTGACACACTTTGTAGCCCATGTTGGCCTCAAACTCGCAGTGCTCCTCTTGCCTCAGCCTCCTGAATGCTGGGATTATAGGTGTGTGCCACCACGCCCAGCTTCCCTAGGATGGATGGATGGCAAGGAGGGCCAGGGGAAGGCATTGGGGCTGTGCTGACCCTGGCAGGGGCATTTCCTAGGGCACAGGAGACCCCTTCCTGTCTGCAGGAAATGTGTACCCATGAGCCAACTGATGGTGGGCGTGGAGAAGGGACACAAGAACAAGGACAGAGCTGTCTTGAGGTGGTCCTGGGGGAGGGTGTCCTGTCCAGTGGGGCTGACCTGAGTTTATCTGCAGGGTGCCTATGGTGTGGTGAGACTGGCCTACAATGAGAGTGAAGATAGACACTACGTGAGTCTGGGGGAGAGGGAGGTATTGCTAAGCTGGGCGCTAGACACCTGGGGAGTAGAGCAGCAGCCTAAGCCATACCTGGCCACACCTTCAGTGCCAATGGCAGTGCCCAGTGTGCCTTTCTGGAACTCGGCCCACATGTAACCAGCCTGTCCTAACCCCCAGTGGCTACATACAAGTGACACTTCTCTCCCTGTCTCCTTAGGCAATGAAGGTTCTTTCCAAAAAGAAGTTACTGAAGCAGTATGGTTTTCCACGTATGTACTTGTCCTTCCTGTCCCTGGGAGCTCCTAGTCTGGGGACAGAGCAGAAGCAGATCGCAGTCTCTGGTTACTTCTGGTTAACAGTGGGGTAGAGGGGAAAGAGTATGAGCCAAGGGCTGGAATGCAGTGTGCTTGGTGGCTTGGGACAGGATCAAGAATTCTTGCAAGAGTTGTGCCTGCGACTAGCTGCAGGGCTACGAGGAAGCCAGCTGTGGAACAAGGCCTTGAATCTTCTTCCTCGCCACAGGTCGCCCTCCCCCAAGAGGGTCCCAGGCTGCCCAAGGAGGGCCAGCCAAGCAGCTGCTGCCCCTAGAGCGGGTCTACCAGGAGATTGCCATCCTGAAGAAGCTGGACCATGTGAATGTGGTCAAACTGATTGAGGTAGGAGGGGTAGTGAGCAGGTGGCGCCTGGCGTACTCTTTATCCGTCTGCATGGACCTGAGATTCTGTCCAGGTGTGACTGAGGTCCCAGAGGTCAGGTGAGACTTGGAGTGGGCTGCAAGGAACTATGGGGTACAGCTTTGACTGGACAGAGAGGGAAGGCAGGATGGGCCAGGATTGGTCAGTGGTTGGTGAGGCCCTGTCTGTCTAGCACCTGCTCCATGTCAAGGTGGCTGCCAAGCATACTGGGGGTCCTGGGGCCAGCAAGGACAAGGATGCTTGGGCCCATCACTCCATGCCTTCTCAAGTCTTACCTCACATCTACTCGCTCTGACCAGGTCCTGGACGACCCTGCTGAGGACAATCTCTATTTGGGTGAGTGACCCAGCTCATTTCCGCGGCAGCTCATGTAGGGCTGGTCCAAGGGCTCCCTGGGGGGGATGTGCATGAACTTCAGGTAGGTCTGTGAATGCACTGGCTTCTTGAGGGCACAGGGGAAACACATGTTTTCAAGCCCCAGCTTCCCTCTTGAAGCCCTGCCTAACTAGCCCAGAAGAATCAGTAATAGTCAACAAGTATTCCTAGGCCCCTGTTCTCTCCTGCCTGTTGATTGGCAAGCCAGTGGGCCAGTCTGGAATCTGCATGCAGGTAGATGTGAGAAACAGGCTTTGTGGGTTCCTGGATGCAGTCTAGTAGCTCTGCCCCTCAGTTTCCTCATCTATGAAATGGGATAATAGGACCAGGGCTGTAGCTGTGTGGTAAAGCACTTGTTCAGCCTGTGCCCTGGGTTTCATCTCCTGTATTACAGATAGTTAGATAGATAGATAGATAGATAGATAGATAGATGGATGGATGATAGATAGGATAACAATGGCATTTACCTCATAGGGTTGCTACTGAAAGGAAGTGAGCTACTCTATGCAGAACATAGTAGGTTTTGTCCTTGTTAAAGTTATTTAAGTTCCTCATGCCTGGTGTAGGACTAGGCAAACAGGAAGCAAAAGGGTCAGAAGGAGAATCAGTTTAGGAATTAGAGGCCAAGGCTTTAGTCTGCACTCTCTGCCCTGCTTGCCTGTCTGCCGTGAACTTTAGAAAAATTTATGTCTCCATGACTGCCCCTTCTGGTATCCTCAAGACAGGGAGCTAGCAACAGCTTCTTTGGCAGCCCTGGCTACACCTTACCTTCTTCTTTTTCTCTTGTTTCTTTCAGTGTTTGACCTTCTGAGAAAGGGGTGAGTTCCCCGTCCCGACCAGGCAGGTCAATTTAATCTAGGTCTTCCTTTCCCTCCCTGTTCCCTAGCTCAAGGATCAGGGACTACAAGAGAATCAGACATCTGTCTAGGTCCTACCCTAGGAGCGCTAGTCTTGGGGGTGGAGGACTGTGAGGCCCATCTTGAAGGTTACTGAGGCTTGAGTAGTCACAGAGGCCTCTGGAAGCTGGACTGTGGGGACATGGGGAAGCTTTTAGACAGGAGATTTGGATGGAAGAGGGGGAATGAAGCAATGTTTTTCAAACGAGAAAGTATAAGACAGGACTCCATGGGGAGCGAGCAGTTGAGACAGGATTTCACTATGCAGATTGGGCTGACCTTGAACTCACTATGTAACACAGGCTAGGCTTGAACTTCAAGTGATCCTCCGGGCTCAGCCTCCCTCCTGAGTGTTGAGATTAAAGGCATGTGCCATCAAGCAATGACTACATTCTTAATCTGTATGCAAATCAGAAAGGGTTCCATTCGCTTTCCAGCAAGCTTGTGAACCAAGTGGGTGGGACTTCATCAGCACCCAAACATTACTAGAGGAAAGCCAAGAATGAGAAAGGGTAAATGACCTGCCCCATGTCGTTGCGCAGCAAGTCACTGAGGGAGTGTACAATTCAGGCTACAGGTGAAGTATAGGGTTCTAACATATCTGCTCTATTTGAGTTTTCAGAGTATTTGCAGAGCATGGGATTGGATGGATAGGGTCCCCCTGCCAAAGTCTGGAATGCAGGCTGTGGCGTGGCTCTGTGCTTGGAGAGGGGCCTTCTTAAAGATGAATTTGGAGTGGAAGTGGCCTCTTTAGGACTTGGGCTTTCAAACATTTCCTTATGTATTTAGTACAGGGTCTACAGGGTCTCATTACACAGATCGGACTTGTAGTGATCCTCCTATTTTCAGCCTCCCAAGCACTGGGATTACAGGTATGCGCCACTATGCCCAGTCTCAGTTGCCGGCTCAGCGCGCCCCCAGGGCAGGACCAGCACAGCATGCTGGGGTGGCATGCCGGGGATTTAAACCCGGCCTCTGCACTCAGCCTAAGTAAGTGCTTTAGTCTGCTGAGCTATGGCTGGCCCTCAAACATTTTTTTAAACTTCCATTCAAAACAAGAAACAGAGGATTAAAGCACCTGCTTAGGCAGACGCAGGGGCCGGGGGTTCGATCCCCAGCATGCCGTGCCACCAGGGCACACTGAGACAGTGATTGAGACTGGGCGTAGTGGCGCACACCTATGATCCCAGTGTTTGGGAGGCTGTAAAACAGGAAGGCTCACTATAAGTCTGATCTGTGTAGTGAGACCCTGTAGACCTCGTACTAAATACATAAACAAAACAAGAAGTATAGTGCTATCTATATCTAACTGAAACCAGTTTTAAGGAACAATATTTACATGTAATACATTGTACTTCATTAGGAAAAAGAAAAAAAATTTCCACCAAATTGATTTTATGACCCTTTGTTGGATCTTGACCCCCAGTTTGAAAATTACTGCAATAAATGGCATCTTTGTAATTATTTGATTATAGATGATGCAGTACTTAGAAGAAATAGAGCCAACTGAATTTAAGATAACGCTGATTTTGAATTACTGTACAACTGAAAATGTATATTGGTATCTATGTGTGAGAGGAGAGAAGCAGCTTAGGCCTAGGGTTCTTGAGACCTGTGAGAGGCCAGGGCTCCCTGCAGTGTCGTGCTTGACTGCCCTCCTCCTCCATAATCCCCCTTACTCACCCCGATTTTCCTCTGATTCAGGCTGAACACCCCTCCCCCTCCTTCCCATAGGCCTGTCATGGAAGTGCCCTGCGACAAACCCTTGTCTGAGGAGCAAGCTCGCCTCTACCTGCGGGACATCATCCTGGGCCTCGAGTACTGTGAGTGAGAGTACTGTGAGTGAGCGGCAGAGTGCACCTGGGACTAAGGCTAGGGATTGGGAGCCCGCCCAGCCCGACACCCCGGAGCCGTTTCTGTCAGTCAGCACTGCTCTACCAATCAGCTATAGGCATTCGTCTGTGGGCAGGTCCTAGGCCCTGTTCACCAGGCATGCGCCGGGTCTTCATGCTGCTGTATGCTTTGGGTGTTCTGTTGCTGTTTTCCACAAGGCCTCAAGAGATGGGGAGGAGCTGGGGCCCGTGGGTGGTGGCAGGATGAGTTCAGATGTAAGGGCCCCTGAAGTGATGCGAGTTTAGGAGGGAGGATGTTAGCTCAGCTTCTGATGGAATGCACTTACTCATCGGATCATTTATTTCATTTCTTCATGATTCCTACTAAGCGCTGGCTGGAGGCCCAGAGATATCAAAGCCCCAGATCTGACTCCCAAGTATCTCATAGGCCTGGAGGGGCAGGAATTCAAGCAGGCAGATGATATACATTAGGCTGGTGCCTGCCAAGGCTGGGAAAGCACAGGATCCTGGAAGATCAGGGCTCTGAAGGATAAATAGGAGTTCATTGACCCGGTTTTGGGGATGGGGAGAGAAGAGTGTATTCAAGCAGAAAGGGGAGGGGCTGCATTGTCTGAGGATGGGAAGAGGTTCGATCTGGATGCAGCATGGAGGTGTGGGGCAGAGGAGGTGGTTAGTGGACAAGGATGCCCATGATTGGGCAGGGAATGCCTCCAGAATGGGCTTTCCGGACCTCATCCTGTCAGTGTGGTGTGGCCCCGAGGGCTCGGAGGGGGCAGGGGTGGGATGGCATCTGTGTCTTAGAAAGCTCTGTCTGGCAGCTGTGTGGTGGTTAGATCCAAAGGTGCCGGCCAGCTGGCCAGGGAGGGAGCTGCTTCTATAGCCAAAGTGACAGATGGTGTGGCTGGGATTAAGGCAGTGGCTGTGGGGAGGGGTGTGGAGGAGGCGGCCAGCACAGGGTGACTGATGGGTCTTGGGAGACGAGGGCCCCTGGATACCTAGGACCCTGTCTTGGGTTAGGGACCAGGAATGCTGCCTGTCTCCCTAAAATCTTAGGCTGGTTTGTTAGGAATATATTCTGGGATGCAGTGGGATCTAAGAGGCATGACCCAAAGTGACAGGAGCAGGGCTCCTTTATCCTTCTTGAGCCTCTCCAGTGCTCTCAGATTAATACTCTCTTTGAACGTATGGGAAAACAGAGGGTCATCAAGGGGAAAGCTTTGCAGAGAATCCCTAGCAAGGGCGTAGAGGGTTAGGACAGGAAGGGAGTGTTGTCCCCCAAGTCTGGTCAGTGGCAGGCACGATCCTGAACAGGCTTGGCACCATCCCTCCCCCCACTTCCTATCCTGGGCTCTGTTGTCTGCCAACCCCAATCTCCCCCTAAAGTGCACTGACCTCAGGACCTAGCTGGTCACAGTGAAACTATCTGAGTAGATGGGGCAGGTGCAGCAGTGTGGGTGATGGGACATAGTGGGGTTGGAAATCTGCTTTGAGCTTGGGGCCAGCTGATGTGAGGTCTGAGGGGAGGAGTGGAGGAACGGTCTCAATCTCAAGGTCTGGCAACTTCAACAGTATGACTTTTAACAATATAGGAGAGACTGGAGGAGGAACAAGGAGTTTCTCTTTTGTTTGCTTCTGTTAGTTGTAGGGATTATAAGTAGAGAAATAAGACACATTTGTGTGATGTACAGAAGATATTATCTATCCATCCCTCTTGATATCTGTTGGGTATCCAGATGGTTAAATAGCCTGGGTCGATGCTAGGGTTTGAGACAAGAATTTGTGGGGCCGGTGTGGTGTGCAGTTTAGTTTGAGAGTAGTTGCTTGTCATGTTTCAGGTTGACTTTTCTGTGGCCATATGCACAGCTCTTGGGGCTTCTGTGCTCAGTGGGACCATGTCAGGGTCCTTGTGTGTCCCTGGCATGCAGTAGGCAATCAGTAAAGGGCGATGCTTCCCTGGTTATTGTGTATGGTACTCACTTCCTCAGATCTGCCTCCTCCTTTTCCCTTCCCCTCTCTTCCCTTCTTTGTGTCTTCTTCCCTCTAGTATCCTGGTGTCTGTGGGTCCAGGGGAAGGGATTTGCTGAGAAGGGAGCCCACAGGTGAGGGGCTGTGGGGTCAGAGACTTTGTCAACTGGGACATCTTTGGTCATCCTACTTGGAGCCACCCGTCCTGGCAGTGCTGAGCCTAGGAGGCAGAGCCAGCTCCCAGGCTATTTCTGATTCCAGCATCATCCCCCTGGCTCCTGCCCCAGCCATCCTGGTGTCCTCCCTGGTGTCTTTCCTCCTTAAAACCCTATCAAAAACAACAAAAAAACCCCCTATCATCCTGGATCCCTTGGGCTGAGACCATGTGTCTTGGTTACTTTTCACTCATTGTGGGACAGATATCTGACATTCAAAATGAAGGAAGGAAAGGTTTAATTAGCCCACAGTTTGTGGAGGTTTCAGTCTATACTCAGAGCGGCACATGGCAGAGAGCAGCAGTTCAGAGCAGCAGAAAAGAGCCAAGAGCAAAGGGAAGGGCAGCAGCTGCAGCCTCTAGCAAGCTTCTCTCTCCTGCTTGTATTGTAAACAAGCTACCCCGGGGGGACTCCCACTTGTCCATGCCCTCCTCTTCCACAGGATGAGGATGTTTACAATCTAAGAATCCTGGCTCCCTGCTGAGTCACTTACACTTCTAAACTTCTCAAGTTGACACAATGTATGAACATCTATAGGATATGCAGTCCCCACCCTGAAGCGCTCCTCTTGGGAGCTGGAATATTTTTGACCAGGCTGGGTAGGAAATAAAATTGGGAAAACCAGGAGCTTTGAGCTTGGGTAGCAGCAGTGATGTGGGAGGGGAAGAGATGGCCTGAGATGGCCTGGGGAGAATTCCCCTCCCCCAGTCTCTGGCCTCTGCCCTCAGCAGCAGGTGTCTTGTTGCTCATGGAGAGAGCACGGGACCACGACACCTAAGATCTGCCCTGGCTTGGCTGCGCACAGCCTGGGCTGGGCCTCAGCATCTTATCATGTTGGGCACATGGTCCTGCTGTCCTCTCCTAAGACCCTCATGAGACGAGAGTGTGCACAGGCTAGGGTGCGCCAGCAGGCTTGCCGGGCCCAGGAGAGGAGGTGAGGGGGCCTGGGCTGTGGTCCCCAGGCGCGTGCTCCAGCTGCCTCTCTCTGCAGTGCACTGCCAGAAGATCATCCACAGGGACATCAAGCCGTCCAACCTGCTCCTGGGGGATGACGGACATGTGAAGATCGCCGACTTTGGCGTCAGCAACCAGTTTGAGGGGAACGATGCCCAGCTGTCCAGCACGGCAGGGACCCCTGCATTCATGGCTCCTGAGGCCATTTCTGATTCTGGCCAGAGCTTCAGTGGAAAGGTGACTCCCAGGGCTTGTGCAGATCAGGGGCAGAGTGCCTTGAAGCAGGAACCGTTTCAAGATGAGAGTGTCAGGTCCTTGCATCCAGGGAGTAATGTCCTGGAGCCTAACGTGCTCCCTAACCTTGGTGTCCTCTCGTCTTCCAGCAAAATGGTCACAAAGCTCTTCTGCAGGTTTTATTGGACTTTGTCTTGTGTCTGGTCCTGGGCTGGGCTGTGGAAAAAGCAGAGCCAAAAGAGTCCTGCTCCCCACCCCTCTCGCTGCCTGGTAGAAAGGGCAGGAGAGCAGAGGTCAGGGGAGGTGAAGTCTCCTGGTCTTGGATATGGAAGGGTCTAGACAAGGCCTCTAAGAATGGGGAGGATTTGAGGAATCAGAGAAGGAACCCAGAGGATGTACAGGACAGAGTGGCATGGGGCTGAGAGGACCGGAAGTTTGGACTTTTACTGTAGCAACAGAGGCAGTAGGGAAAGCTTTCGAGTGAAGGTTACCATGCCATTGTGTCCTGGGGCACACGCCTGGCCTCGCTGTCATAGGGGAGGGCCAAGAGGCATGGGATGTGGGGTGGCCCCTGGAGCTCCGAGGTCAGGGATGTCAGTTATTTTTAAACTTTTTATTTGGGGTCCGGGAAATCGCTCAGTGGTATAGCATTATCTAGCATGTGTGGGAAGGTGAGTGTGACACCCTAGAACTGCAAAACAACAAAAACCAAGAATGGTTTTTTATTTTGATATAATTTTAAGTTTACAGAAAGGCTGTAGAAATAGTACAAAAAAATACTATATAACTTTTTACCCAGATTCACCAGTTACGTTGTGTCTCATTTGTGTGTGTGTGTGTGTGTGTGTGTGTGTGTGTGTGTGTATCACATTTTTCTGATCCATTCAGAATACAGTTGGACGTTATGTCCCTTTAGCACTACATTTTAGTGAATCTTTGCTAAGAACAAAGACATGCTCTTACATAACATCAGTATAATCAAAATTAGGTTTGTCATCAGTAAGATTGTTGTATAATTTATATGTTTAAATTGTTATCACTTATATTTAAGTTTTGTCAGTTTTCTCAGTATTGTCCTTTGTAACTTTTTTCAACTGTGGATGCAATCCAGGGACACTTGCCACATTCACTGGTTGTGTCTCTTTGCTGTCCTCTGATTTGGAAGAGTTCCCTAGCCTTTCTTTGTCATTTCTGACCTTGACATTTTTAAAGAGAACAAGGCTGTTATTTGTAGAACATGTCAGTTTGCATTTGTGTTCCCTGATTGGATTTTAGTGATGCGTCTTTGGCAGGAGTGTGTGGGTGGAGAGCTGAGGAGCGCCCACATTAGAGAAAAAGTGGATATGGGAAGAAGAGGCGGGGGTCTGCAGGGGACACAGGAAGAGAGAACACCCAGGAGAATCCAGGGCCGGAGCCTGATTAGCGTGTGGAGGGAGCTGGCGGGTGCACTCACTCCCTGCTTGTCCTGTAGCAGTGCCTGAGTGTAGGGTGCCTGGGGCCTGGCCAGTAGGAAGAGACGGGTGTCAGGCAGAAGGTGGGTTGTGGCTTCTCGGGATGAGTAGTAGAAGGGAAGACTCCTTGGAGTGAGAGCTGGTTTAGCATGAGTTCCACACCTACTGTCATTTTTGGGGTGCATCTGAGGTTAGCACGTAGCCCCGTGGATGAAGCGAGTCTTCCCATCTTTTGAGTTAGACACCTCTGGTTTCAATTTGTCCCAAGGAGACTTGAGACCCCACAAGGGCAGTGGTTCTAGTGTGGTCATCAGGTCATCCCGATGCTCAGCAGAGAAGGCCCAGCATGGATCAGGACTGGGGAAGGAGGATCTCTGTAGGCCCCTTTCCGCAGTCCCCTCAAGCTGGGTGTGCAGTGGTTGGTGGTGGTTGCTGGGGGACTGATAGAAGCATATTATTTCCTAGGCCTTGGATGTGTGGGCCACTGGAGTCACGCTGTACTGTTTTGTCTATGGGAAGGTGAGTCCTGGAGTGGGGTAGGGGGTGGGGCAGAGCTGGGGGGAGCCTGGATGGCTGCCACCATGAGCCAGTCATGGGCCAGTCATGCAGGCCTTTCTTTTGTGTCTTTAATAATAAAATGACTTTTGAAAGAGGCCACCTGGCTCAGAGCAGGCTGAGGGAGCAAAGATTTTTCTTCATTTTTCTCTCATCTCCTTGGAAGTGGAGGTGTCCACGGTGCTATTGCCTCCTCTCTGGCCATACTGCTTCCTGTCCCTCTGTCCCTTGAGGCCATTCATTCATTCACCCACACATTCATTCAATCGTTTATACATTTAATGAACTGTCCTTCCCTCCTGTTTTGGGTCAGGCTGGGCCTTGTGGATATCTAGCACCGAGATGCTGACCATGGGGCCCTCTATGCTGGAGGCCACACAGAGGAGCCAGCAGTGGCGTCTCAGAGAACACATTCCCATACGCAGGCCCTGGGAGTGGTGGCCTTCCCTCTAGTGGCTCTGACACCAGCAGCCTCACAGTTCCCTCAGCCACTCTGTGCTCCCAGATCAGGGCACTGCGCCAGCATCCTTTGTCTGCCTCTCCCCAACAGTGTCCATTCATCGATGATTATATCCTGGCGCTGCACAGGAAGATCAAGAATGAGGCTGTGGTGTTTCCGGAGGAGTGAGTTGTCCACCCAGGGACCAAGGAGGCTCCTGACCACTCCCAGGGAGGGTGTGAGAGCTTGACAGAGCTTCCACCCTTTGAAGAGCCTACTCTAGCCTGCAGATTGGGAGGTGGGGGTGCTGTTCCCTGGGAGGGGCACTGAGCAGGTGGAGGGAAGGGTCTGTAGAGTTGAGGGTCTCCAGGACGTGAAGGTTGGCTCTTGTCTAGAGGGGGCTACTGAGGCAGAGATGATCACATTGACACCACCCCTTCCCTGCAGGCCTGCATGCGGTTGGTAGAACCAATCCCATAGAGCTCCTGGGCCGGGGGAGACTTTGCTTTCTGTATGCTGGAAGGGGGGTTTGAGGTAGATCCCAGTGTGCCTGGCATTTCACAGATGGCAGAGCGCAGACTCTGAAGGACAGCTGCTAGCGGGGCTGGGATTTGGCGCCATTGTCTTATGTCTGTTCTCCCATTGTGACTGAAGTCTCTGAGCTCAGGGGGGCTGTCTGGGAAGCCGATCTTGGCCACTGTGGCTCTTCAGTTTTCAGGGCCCTCCTACCATCTACTCAAGTGGCTGGTGCAGGATAGAAACTGGCCCAGGGGTTGTCCTCCATGCCTCCTGCTCTTCTATTGTTTTGTTTTGGTCGTACTGAGATTGAACCCAGAATCTTTGCCCTGAACTACATTTCCAGCTCTTTTTCTATTTTGTGACAGGGTCTTGTTAAGTCACGAAGTTGCCCAGGTTAGTTTTGATCTGGTGCTCTTTCTGCCTCAGCTTCCCAGAGCTCTGGGATTACAGGCAGGTGCCACAACTCCCAGGACTCCTGCTATTCTGCACCTGCTTCCTGTCTGATCCTTGAGCCCTGTGGTGTCTATTTCTTACCTTTCTCACACCCATGCCTCCTACCTCAGATAGGCCTACGCCCTCCTCCCAAGATTTGTTCATCCCTTTCCTCTCAGGCCCTCCTCCTGCCTAGCCAATACAATCAGGCCCTAATGATTCTGATAAAGAACAACAGATCTGACCCTGTTTCCTGCTTCAAGTTTGTCCTGGGCTGTCTAAAGCTTGCAGGACAGAGCTTCTGGCTGTGGCATTCAAGGGCCTCTGGATTCTGCTACCTGCTTATCTGTGTCCCCCCCCCCCCCACCGCACTAGCCAATGGATTTTGGCCCATTTCCTGGTTTTCCTTTAATATTGGGGCTCTTTGCCTTCTTCCTGCTGTCCCCTACCTCAGGATACCCTACTTGCTTGGAATTTTCAGAGCACCTAAGTATCTAAGACAGCAGAAGGGAGCAGCTCAGCATGCCCAAGAGTGGATAGGTTCCTCCTGCCCAGCTTTGGACAGCTGAGTACCCTAAGAATGTTGGTAGCTGAGAAGTCTGGAGTTTAAGCAATGCTGGTCCAGGTGCTGCAGGGCTGAGAGCGCTGTTGCTCCCCTCAGGCTCCTACCCTGTCCAGTACCCTTCTGAGCAGCAAGGAACCAACCCACCAACCTCTCTGGACCTCAGTTTCCTCCTCTATCAAATGAGAGCCACCTGCCAAGAGAGGAAAGGATAAGATAGCCAGTGGGAGTGAAGGCTATAAAGTGGCTCTTCCCATACAATTCCACCATCCTGCCACCCAGAGCAGGCCCAGCCCCTGTGGAACTCTGGCCTCTGCCCAGAGAAAGACTTTTACTTCCTACTCAGGAAAGGAGATCCACGTGCTGTTCTGAAACTCCCTCCTCAGGCTGTTCTGAAACTCTCTCCTCGGGCCTGCCCCCTGGGGGTCCTCTTGCTCTTCTCATCTGAGGAGTGAGGGTTGGCTGTATCTCTGATCCTGGGGCATGGTGGGGGGATAGGGGGGCTGGAAGGAACCCTCGTCATCTGTCTCACCCTCAACTCCCTCCTCATCTTTAGGCCAGAGGTCAGCGAGGAGCTCAAGGACCTAATCCTGAAGATGTTAGACAAGGATCCCGAAACAAGAATTGGGGTGTCAGATATCAAGGTGGGGGAACAAGAAGGCTTGGGGCTTGGCTGGGGCATAGAAAACAGTTCTCAGTTTCCTTTTCTGGAGAGACCTATGCCGGGACACCTGTGTTACTGGGTTTGGGTATCAGGATTGTGGGCTTTGTGGATCCCTTCAAGGTCTGGCTGGTCAGATGCCCGGAGTCTTTTGTGGATTGGGCCCTGAACCCTCCCTGCCTTTTGGTCTTTGCAGTTGCACCCTTGGGTGACCAGGAATGGGGAGGAGCCCCTTCCGTCAGAGGAGGAGCACTGCAGTGTGGTGGAGGTGACTGAGGAGGAGGTGAAGAACTCTGTCAAGCTCATCCCCAGCTGGACCACGGTGGTAAGAAGGTGAAGGGTGAAAGGCCCCCTCGTCCTGGGAGGACCAAGGAGTGAGTGTCCACTGGTTGAACCCTGCTGAACCAGCACAGTACAGGGTCTCAGAGCCCATCATTCTGCTAGAGCCCTGTGGAGATTGAGGTTGCATTATTCAGCCTCATTGGAGGGAGACTGTTTGAGAAGGAGAGAGAATGACTTAAAAGAAATCGGAGTGGCACATGGTGGTGTGTGCCTGTCATCTCAGCACTCTGGGAGACAGGCAGGAGGGTTGCAAGTTTGAGCCCAGCCTAGACAAGTTAGCAATTTACAGAGACCCTGTGTCAGCTGGGCATGGTGGCACACCCCTGTAGTCCCAGCACTCAGACTGAAACAGGAGGATGGTTGGTAGTTAGAGAGACAGAGAGAGATCCTGTCTCAAAATTTAAAAAATTTTAGTAAGTCTGGGGGTATAGCTCAGTATGAAAGTTCTAAGTTTAATTTCCAGTATCACAAAAAGCAAATAGCTCCCCAAACCTCTGCAGGGCTTGTCCCCAGCTTTGCCACCATAGTAGCAGCATTCACTGTGGCTGAAAGGACAGTTCCTTCCAAACATTTATGGAACTGCTGCTCCCAGGTACCGCAGCAGATGCTGAGGCGGTGACAGTGGAAATCTTGGAGGCCTTGGAATTACAGCAGAGTCTCCAGAGCCCCCACGGGTCACACCCAGCAGCTTTCCCCTCGGGGAGCCTGGCACCTGGGGCCTGTGTTCCTCATGCCGATGTCTGCTCCCCAGATCCTCGTCAAGTCCATGCTGAGAAAGCGCTCCTTCGGGAACCCGTTCGAGCCCCAAGCACGCAGGGAAGAGCGATCCATGTCTGCTCCAGGAAACTTACTGATGTAAGTGCCAGCAGGCTGAGGCCTGCAGGGTGCTCCCTGGGGTGGAAGGAGAGACTGAGGCACAGCCCCCTGGCTTGCAGTGTAATGGGACCACACAGGCTGAGCCAGAGGCTGGGACACATTGACCATGTCTTGCAGCAGGGCCTCGTTGTACCTCTGTGCTCAAGGCTAGTTAGGCTAGAAGCGACCTTCCTGGGCCAGGCCTGCTCCAGGGGGGCCTAGACTCCCTCCTACACTGCCAGGGATGAGAAGTACACTTGAGCCCTCCGTGGGACAGGATGGCCTTACCTTCTCACAGCAGCTTGATGTTGTCACGCTTCCCCACTGGGCACAGCTCAGCCTTCTGGCTTCACATCTGCAGCTCCTTTAGCCCTTGGCAGCCTGGAAGAGGTTTGTAGACAGGCTTGGTCTGTTCCCTGTAGAAGGCTGGCTGGTCGGTTCATGGAGGGACCGACACTTTTGTTCCCTTTCCCTGGCCCTAGAGTAGTGTTAGCTGCTTTCTTGAGTGGCCCATGCCACCTGCACCTGGTCCTTTGTGAATACCCATCCGTTGAGTCAGCATGGGCAGGCTGGGGGCTGGCCCAGGGGAGAAGAATGCACCTTTGCTAGGGATTCCCTACTATGAGCCATGTGTGTGAGTTTGCAGTCTCATAGAAGAGGCCAGAAAAGCAGCTCCTCAAACCTCCACAGGCCTTATCCTCAGCTTCGCAGCCCAAGTCAAAGTCAGTCTAGGGGGCCAGCTTGGCCTGCTGGAATTTGCACCTAGACTTGGACCAGAACGTGATGCTGGGGGGTAGTCAGTGCCTCTGGCCTGTGAAGGGAGCTACAGAGAGCAGAGGTGGAGCTACCTCTCCCCACCTGCTTGGCAATGAAGGCATGCTCCCCCAGGAAGTAAACTTCTACCAGTGTCCTCCTTCCAGGTCACACCTACATCATGTGGGGTGCCACTAGGGAAAGGCAGCAGTTTTCCCGTCTTCAATGAAGCACTTGGGGTTGGGGAAAGGAGTTCTCTGAGCTCATTCGGTCTTGAACCTTGATGTTGGAATTGCACTTAGTGTAGGGGGTCGTATAGAATTCGACATTCAAATGAGGCCACTTCTGAGAGTGAAAGGGGAAGCTGTGAATAAGTATGCCAGGCCGAACAAAATCAGGACTCTGCCCAGCAAACCAGACATCCGATCACACCAGCTCAGTCAATGTCTGTGGCCCAGCGCCCCCTACTGGTTAAAGACACATCTAGTTTGTCCTGCAAAATCCCTGATGGAAAGATTGGACTCAATACTTTTCCAGGCATAAAACTGTATAATTCTGGGGCCCAAGTTAAATTTTGAAAACAGATTTGACATAATTATACATTTCCAGCACTTGACCATGGTAGACTGTATTTTTCACACTTTGGGATAGTTGTTCACACTGCAGTAGAGACAAATAGGGTGGTCTTTTCTTGGATTAAAATGAGAGGTCTCAGATGGGGAGATCAGATAAAAGAACCCATTGCATATGTAACAGATCCCCAAGACTGATAGGTGCTTTGCCTATGAATAAGACAAAATACAAAACACAAGCATCTCTACCCAGGTCTGCTGGGGGCTGATAAAGGTCAACATAGAAGGTCTTTTACCTGGCTGACCTTCCAAGGATACAGAGAAGTCAGCTAGGTCAGATCATGAAACATCCCAGAAGCCAGGCTGAGAAGTTTAGATTTCACCTCAGGGGAAGGGGGAGTGACATAAGAGTTGTGGGCTGCAGCAGGGGTAAGGAGACCACCAGGGAGTGAGTGCTGTGATGCAGGGGGTGGAATGAAGGCCATACTTGGGGCACTGGATGAGGAGGTGTTGAGAGACTGTGGGATACAGATGCTTCTGTGAGTGTGTGTGTGTGTGTGTGTGTGTGTGTGTGTGGAGACAGAGAGACCCCGAATACACATTCTGAGCTCTGAAGTCCTGTCCCTGATGTCACCTGAACAGGAAAGAAGGGTGTGGTGAAGGGGGCAAAAGCCCTGAGCTCCCTGGTGTCCAAGAAGATGAGGCTGCATCCTGATTCTCTGCATGTGCCCAGGGCCACCAGGCAGCACGTTCATCCCACGCCTCCAGAGGCCCACCGCCCTCATGCAACAGCTGCCCCTGCAGGCAGGGGGCTAGGGGCTGTAGCCCCTCTCCTGGTCCCCCTTCCCTACTGTACTGCATGATCTCTGCGTGGGCATGTCCAGGGACAGATTGGAATGTGTGTCATCTGGGGTTGGGGATTGGGGGTAGGGCTCCTAGGGCACCTTCCTCTCAGTCCTAGCTCTATGTGGCCTGACTCAGCTGTGGGGAAGCCAGGGGCCCACAGAACCTGACTGGTTGGCATGGCCCAAGGCAGGGGGCAAGAGACTGAGCTGGCAGGTGGAACCTAGCTCAGCTGCTACACTAGAAGGAGAGTATTGCCCACCTGGGTGAAGAGGTGCCAGAGATAGTGTGTGCTCAGAGTGCTGTGGTACAGAGGCTCTGCCCTTGTGTGCCTCAGGGAGAGAGAGCAGTGATGGAGAATTCAGATTCCCTTTATGTTGTCTTTTGCTTTTAATTCTAACCTGAGAAATGGGGAAAACTGTACTAGGGAACATCTAAGGAACCTCTCTTCAGCTTTCGGGGGTTCCCAACACACCCACCATTATTCAGCAGCCAGATGGAGTGGATTGACCTTCTTGGATTGTTCTGTATTTGGAACCATCTGGAAAAATGGGCTGAATTGAATCACACTGGGAGCACAGGCCTGAGCCTGAAGCAACACTTCCTCCTTACCTGCCTCCCTTCTTCCTTCATGGCTCCGAAAGCCACACTAGGGCTGACACTGGCCAAGTGCTGTGGACTCAGGGCTGTGGCCTTGAGTTTTCTGAAACAACTGGAATCCAATCTCTGATCCTCGCTGGCTTTCCTGTCACATTCCTACAATGAAGGAGAAACTGTTGGGCTCAGAGGCCAGGCTGGATGAGGCACCTTGCAGGGCTACGCAGACTGGCACACAGCCTCCCTGTCTACCGCCTTGCGCCCAGGACCGGACAGTTGCCAGCCAGCATGCCCAGAGCTGGAGCACGGGGACATGTGTGTGGGCAGCACCTTCTGCAGTGGGCTTCTTATCTCTCTGGGATCAGTGAGTGCTGGCTGGCTTGATGTTTACTAACCAGATGCTCAAGGGTGGACCCCCGAAAGGGAAGTACATAGCGCTCAGATGCCACCCCTGAACACATGGGCCACAAGGGCTTCATACCGCAGGAGGGCTGGTCTGCTGAAGAAGGAGCTGCGTGGGCGGAGGGCCCAAGTCCTGCTGCATCTCCGTGCCTGCAGGTGCACGTTGCACCCCCACGCACACGCATGTGCGTACCCATCTGCTGCACACAGCACACTCGCATTTCTTGCACCAGTACATGTATCTGTAACATAGTTTCTATTATCTATTTAATAGTAGGAGCAGACTGTGGCCTGTTGTCAATGGGCCCACCCTTCTCCCCAACTCCTTTGCATTAAGGCAGTCCTCAACCCAGGGCTTAAACAACAATTCAATATTACCTTTAAGAACACTTTTATAGAGGTAAAGGGACACAAGTTAAAAGCCAATCACTGGCCAGCAAGCTTTCCTGAGCATTTCCGTGCAGGTGCCTGCCTGTGAAGGCCAGGGCGTGTGGGGCTTTATGGCTGGACCCAGCCTTGGAAAAAGTTCAGAGGTGAGCAGCTGGGCTTCACTGCCTGTGACAGCCTGGGAGGAGTGTCCATCTCATTACTGAGGGTTTGGTTGGCATCATTGTTTTTGAATGTAGCATAAATGATGAACAAGCTCCATAAGAGTGTTTTAAAAATTAACTTCCCAGGAAGTGAGTTAAAAATAATAAAAGCCCTTTCTTGAGTTTAAAAAAAAAAAAAAAAGGCTTTGCATGTCCATTTTCTGCATCTGGTTATGAGTTTTTTCTCATCAGCTGGGCCAGCTGGTTTGGCTTACTTTTCTAGAAGAGTTTGAGACACCTTAAGTCCCTGAGCAGGGCATAGTGAGAGGTGCTTGGGAAGGTGAAAAGGAAGGAGGGAGGGAGCAAGGGGGGCTCCAGGGGCTCCTGGGTAGGTCTGAGGGAGGACTCCTCGGGAGGGCTTGGCAGCTGGAGGGCTGCACACACAGGAAAGCGGAGGTCTGACCTGGTCTAGGTGTGGCCTGGGCTCAGTACCAGCCCTGTGCCTCCCTGCCTTGACACTGGCATTCCATCCAGGAAAGGGCCATCCAGGGCATTGATAGAAGAAGTACCTCTGAGGTCAGCCTTGTACTTGAACTGAAGCTTTGCTCAGTAAGGACCATGTCACTGGAGGTGAGTCACTGAAGGAAACTTGGTTTTCTTACTAATATAACTTGAATAAGTATCAGCCCCTCCTTCCTGGGGCTGTTTCAGCATGTGAAGTCGTGGTGTCAAACGCCTGGCATAGTGCTTGATATGCAGTAAGCAGCCAGCAAATGAGACCCTGCATGGTGGTGTTCGCCTAGCTGTGAGTTTCCAGTGTAGAGAAGTGGGAAACCAGAGGGCCTAGCAGTGCGGACCAGGAAGGACCCAAGGCTAGAGGCTGCCCAGGTTTTTCTACCTGAGAAATACCAACCCTGAGAAATACAGCCAGGAAACCAGGTTTTCCTGTGAAGCTCCTGTGGGCTGTACCAAGTCCTTTCAGGATGGGGGTGGGCCACCAGGAAGAAGCTCCCCAAAGCCCAGACCAGTAAGTGAGTCTTGTTCTCACTTCCTTCTCCCCACTGCAGCCTCTCAATTGAAGCTCTAAGTGTCTCTCACCTCACTGGCTCCAGTCCTTCCCCTCACCAGCTACCAGCATGATCTATCTGAGCATCCACCTGGCCAGGCCTCAGTCACTCAGAATCCTTTCAGCCTGGTGTTCAAGGCCTGGATGCCCTCCTGACTGAGGCTCCACCTGTCACCTCTGCCTACTCCTCTCTCAGGCCCTCCCATGCTTCCAGGGCACTACTGCCCCTTACCTCCTGCCTCTGCTCCTCTAGGTGGCCTTACCCTTTAAGGCCTATTGGGCAGTGAGAGCTTTGAAAAGGACCACAAGTGGCTGTTGTCATTTCCCCATGAGGACAACCCCTCTAGGGGACACACTGTGGTACAGAAAACCGAAGCCCAGAGTCCCATAGTACATCCCAGATGAGCTGGGGTACTGTTCACATCTGTCCACCTACGCCCACCAAGGCCTTCCTACACCAGCTACTGGGAAAACTGGGAGCCACACACAAGGGAAGACAACTGGAAAATCAGAGATGGAGTCCACCCCTTTAGATGTCACCACACAGGGCAGCTGAGCCTGGGGACAAGAAGTCTATCTGAAGGCATGGCAGGCAATCTAGGGTATGCCACAGGAGAACCTAGTGTCTCAGAGAATGTCTTTAGGTTCTGGATACCATAGTTCCTTTATTTTGGCTCTGCTCCCTCAATCCATTAGTCCATATGGTAGTCTCAGGAGAGAGAGTTGAGGGAAGATTGGTCAGAGCTACTGAGGCGTCCATCTTTTCCAGGGCTCACATACAGGACCCATAGCAATGCCCCTCAGGTTCTAGGGTCACCTCACCATAGGCAGGCATACTTGGTCAGCCTCTCAGGCAAACAGGCAGCCTATCCACTGGGCTGTTCTTCTGTGGAGCCATGTGTTGGGGAGACAGGAGGATCTGGAGAGGGGCCTGTCCTCTACCTCACTGCAGAACAGAACCCTGTCTGGGAGGACTTACTGCCTCACTCCAGCCTTCAAGTGGACAAGGCCCTGAGGGCATCCGCAGCATTCAGTTCCAGGCTTAAATGACCATCCTTGTAACCCCCACCCCATACACACATGTTGCATTCTGCCTGGGGTCTCGGTCACATCCATTTTCCCAGCAACTAGGATGACAGAGGATGATGAAGCCTCTCACTCTCCACACAGCCGTCTGTCCCACCCAGCTGTGCTAACCAATTTGTCATCAGCCCATCCCAGCTTTGCGGTCACTCCCCAACAGTGAACTCCCAGTGTCCCCAAATTGCTCCCCCAGCAAGCCTTCCCTGGTTTACAACCCCAGAAGCACACTTGGCCTGATGTCAGAGCCCATCTCCCACAAGCCTGGGGCCAGGGCATTGGCCCCACAGCTTTGCCCACTAGCTGAGCCACTTTGATGCCCACTGACTGTGCCACCACGCTGAAGGTCATTTATGGACATCTCAGCTGAATCATAGGAATAAGGTCTTCTCTCTGAGCCTCTGTTCTTGCTACCTGGTCCCCAAGTAAGTCCCTTCTCTGACCTGTTTACCCCAGCTTCTCCCCACCCCTTTATTGTGCTCTTCAACATACATAGCTGTGCAGGGCATTCCGACAGCACCCCTGGCTTTTTGAGGGTAACTGACCCACACTTAGTGCAATGTTCTCCTGAGGACCTTTGCAAGGCTTGTGGCAGTCCATCCCCAGCAGGACTGCCCCCTGGTCGTCCTATCCATGGTCCATGCAGGTACCGCTGTGCTCTGTACTTTGACTTCCCCTCAGCCTTTGGTCTCCTCCAACACACACTGTTCACCCACAACTCACACACATAGTCTTTGCCCAGGTCCTCCCTCAAGGAATGAAACTAGATCAAGACAGCAGGGCACTCACTCAACCTCTCCTTCCTTGGTTTCACCCAGAGGCCAGGGTGCCTGAGATGTCTGAGCCTTGTAGGGAGGATTCCCTTTGCTCTCAGGGGCTTCCCTTTCTTTTTTTCTTTTCTTT